TCTCAAAAGAGAATTATACTCAAAGTTGCTTCTTAAATTTCCGGGTGTTACAGAAACTATCATAATGGCTTAGGCATAATATTATTCAAGAGATTTGGCTAGAGTAACTACCAGGCATATATTACCCTAAAATTTTGTGCAGTATGACAACTAGGCATAATATTATAGCAATTGGGCAGAGTAACTACCGGGTATATTATTATCCTAACAATTCGAGGCATAATATTATTCAAAAGATTTGGACAGAGTAACTACCGTGCATATATTATCCTATAATTTTGTGTAGTATGACAACTAGGCATAATATTATAGCAATTTGGTAGAGTAACTATCGGGTATAATATTATCCTAACAATTCAAGTATATCAACGTTGTAAAAATTTTGATATAATAATTAATGATAACTATAAAATGAATAATTTATAAACTAACATGTATCCCCCCCCCCTTCCCGGGAAAACTTTTAAAAACGTAAAAGTAAAGTCGTGAACTCACCCTTTAAGCATGCTTTATACCCCTGATACCTTCCCTCTAAACGCCTAGGAATTTCTTGGCTAAATATGGGGAAAATTTTCACAAAATCAAGAGGAAAGTGAGGGGTTTTGGTGTGAAAATGGCTAAGGGTGCGCAGCTTGTTTACAGGCTGAAAAAGTGAAGGACGCTTCGCGTCTTTGCGACATCGCTCCTGTCTTGGCCTGCCACGTGTTCGTAACATGGCGGTCTGCGTCCCCCCCCCCCCCCTCTAGAAGTCTAGAAGTCGTGCACGCTGGAAAATGTTGATTTTGTAAAATCCGTAACTTCCTCATACGAGCTTCGTTTTTTACGTTTTTTATATACACACGTAACTATCAACGAGTACTGCAACTTTACTTTAAGTTGCATTGGCTAATTTTGACTTTATTTTTACCCCATATTTTTATACCTAAATGATTTTGCAAAAATCATGTACGGACTCTGTTTTTGACATTCTTTATCTCATCAGTTTTACAATGAGGAGTACTTTGATTCTCTTTTATATAGTTTTTGTTAAAAATCAACCGATTTTTCTTTAACTTTTTACGACACACATCCCTGGTGTGCGGTTGTTAAAACTTCATAAAAATCATAACTTCTTCATACAAAGTCAGATTCTTACGAAATTTATAATTCTGAGATCGGGGCGACGTGTACTTTCGGGATAAGTAATTTGTTATACAAAATTACACAATTTTTCGTATTTTTATATTTTCGGATGTTTTGACTGATTTTTCTTATATTTTGGAATGTGAAATCTTTTATTTTTATCATAGATTGATAAATATTTCATATTAAGTCTATTATATTTGACGTTCGTTATGTTTAGTGGTTAGCGATCGGCGATAATTTTCGCAATTATTACAATTTGGGCCCTATAATCCTGTATTAATGCACTAACTTCTAGGGTTTGCAGATTCTCTCAGCCTCTATCTCCAAGACTGAAACCCTAGCCTCCACTTGTTTATCCTTCGTGTTTTTGGTGTTCTTGAGTGATTTTGGGAGAAGAAGAAGGTTTGTGGGCCAAGGTGCAAGATCCATTCAAGTGTCGTCCTTCTTTCCTTGCTTTGAACTTCTGTAAGTTTCCAAGTCCCAAGCTTTATGCTTATTACCTTCTAGATCTAGGTATGTATGCTGACTTTGGTCCCTTTTGTGGAGTTATGTTGGAGTTTGGGTAACTCCTGATTCATAAGTAATGTTTTGGGATCTTTTGGACCCATTGTAGTTGTAAAGTTGGAACTTTACCTTCTTATTAACATGCATGGTGTTGGTTGCTTATTTGGTCCCTTAGAGAAGTTAGGGTTTGAGATCTTCATTGTTTATGCGTAAGAAATGGATAAAGTTGGAATCATTACTCGAATCGGATCTGAGCTTTGGAGCTATAGGCTTAAGGATTAAGAGCTTAATATATTAAGTTGTCTTGGACGTTCTTCACGACGTTGGCCGCGTTAAGCAACCGCGACTGTTTTGGTTTTAAGTAACCGTGGCGCGACCAAGGAGCTAGTCGTGACGTGGTGATGGTTGACTGTTGACTTTGACCTTTGACTATTGACTTTTGACCAATTTGACTTTTGGTCAATTTGGAGGTTTTGAGTTATAGACTGAGTTTTAGCTTAGCTGACTTGTTGGACTTTGAGTAGTTGGTTTCAGAGTTCTTTTATTCAGGTGAGTGTTCTCATTATATTATGTAGGACATTGGGTGTCAACGTATGTTTGTTGCTTGTATACTTACATGCTTTGTTGGGTGAGACCCACTGGGTTGGACCTGTTGGGCAAGGCTTGCATGGTTGAAACAAAGCCATTAAGCAAGGCCCGCATGGTTGAAACAGACCTGTTGGGCGAGGTCCGTTATTCTGTTTTGTATGTGGTATGTTGGGGAACCTACTAAGCTTCATGTTTACGGTTTTAAGTTTAAATGATTCAGGTTGTTCTGGTAGCAGGGGAAAGAGCCCAACGTGATTGCATGGCATCCTTCGATATGTTTTGAAACTTCCGTACTTTTTATTTAAGGTGTTGATACTCTGATTATTGTTTTGAAACAAATGACTTTTATTAAATCCTTAAGAATGGAACTGAAACAAATGTTTTTGTTATTAAATGAAAATTTTATTGTGAAATTTGGGATGTTACAATATCTTGAAAAACAAATATATTTAGTTATCTTCCAAATGAAAAAAAAATGTATATTAAATTATCCCAATATATTAGGTGTATGAAATGTCATTGAAGGTTTATTATTTTTCAAGTTGTAAGTCAAAGATAAAGTTAATTGCATGTAGTACTTATAACCTTTCTAATACTCTTATAGTGTCCGATTTTATCTAATATGCTTCAAATTTACACTCCCAACCACCCCTTGTTTTATCATTTTTTATTGTTAGATGTGACTTGAAAATTAACGAATTGAATGTATAGCATCCCGCCTGAGCAAATTAAAAACATTGACACCCGATATCAACATTGTAAGTGTTTGGAGTAGGTTGAGGGTCATTAGGTGCGACCTTGTTCTAGTTAGGGTTACATTTTGTATTTCCTTATAGAATACGGCTAATAGCTATGATTTTAATTGTACTATTGATTTTCGACCTTCTTATATTCTTTTATTCCTTATGGATGTAGGTTCCATACTTCCATTAAGAACCACGTTAAATATTGTTGTCTTGTGTGATTTATTTTCTTGTTTATTTCTGAAAATTGATAATGGAGAATATGATTTTGGGCATTAGAGTGGATCCTAAAATGGTTTTGATTAGTTAGTTTTCTCATTTACCAATGAGTTTGTTGGCTATAAAACATCCAAGATTCGGCTTTGGGCAAATTTATTAGACCGGAGGGAGTGGGAGGGAAGTTTCCCTCACTTTTTGTGGGCCCTACACCCATTTCCCTCACTTTCCTTTCCCTCACCTAAAACCCAAGGAATGGGTAGGAAGGGTTTCCTTCACTATTTTTTTTTTAATAAAATTATTTTTTTATGATTTATAATTTTTAAATTAATACTAAACAGAAAATTTAATTAAAAATAAAAAGCATTTCATTAATTAAAATAAAAATTACATTATACCTAATATTTAAATAATTAAAAAATTAAAAAAAAACACAAAAAAAATCAAACAAAAAATCAAAATACGTCACTCGGAAGCATCGTCCTCGTCATCAACCTCATCTTCTTCCTCATTCTCCCGAACGTCACTTTCGTCATCGGAATCTTCGCTCTCGAAGAACATATCAGAATCCTCGTCTGATTCGTCAAACAAATCATCGCGAGAAAACTCTATCGGGGGCTGAATATGAGCCCTATAAATGTGCTCTACCAAATCAGCACGAAGGGCCTGATGAATGTCGCGATTGTGTACTTCTCTTCTATTCGCCATATACTCTTGTGTACCAACGGCTACTCCTTCGACATTTGGCAAAACTTCATTTTCGTTGTACGGACATATCGCTCTTCCTTCGTTTTCAAGAATCATATTATGCAATATGATACATGCATACATTACGTGTTGTAACCTTTTTACTTCATATGACCTTGCCCCGACCGTTAGTACTTGTCAACGTCTCTTAAGTACACCAAATGTTCGCTCCACATCCTTCCTAGCTGACTCTTGCGCCTCTTTAAACTTTTTCCTTTCGGGTCGTTAGGACATGTAAACGATTTCACAAAAACAGACAAGGGAGGATATATACCGTCAGTAAGATAGTATTCACGCTTATATGCTGCCATATTTGCTTGAAAAGGTACATCGTGCGACTTTCCAAGGTAGATATCGTTGAATACCGGCGACTGGTCTAGCA